TGTAAAAAATTACCTAGCAGTCACTACAATGTAATATGGAAAGTGCAACCCAAAGTGAATGAATTAAGTGAATAAAGCATTATGTATTAAAGGCATTAAAAACTCGCTAGTTTTCAGCTGTTTCTACCTACACAACATAATGTTGTAACTAGGTTAGCCTTCCCACCAACTTTACTTTAAAAATGTAAGTAGTTTCTCAACAGTTTGGGTCCTTCAGAAAACATAAGCTAAAATGCTAGGAACACAGTCAAACAACTATAGAGATGCATAAAATCAGCTAAGGTACTAGCCTCTATTAGAAACAAACTTTTCAGTTGCTTAAATAAAATCTCGCATGTTTTAGATACTTTAATAAAATCCCACAAAAACTACTTCAGTCATTCATTTAATACTTAACCAAGCTACCTATTTATCCAATAAACTGTAATTACGTGTACCCTCTGCTTTTCCCCCTTGAGACTTGCATCTTCTTTAATGTGTAGTTTGCATTCAAAAAGATTCTCATGGCCTTAATTTAGTACACAGACAGAATGATTCATATGATTGGGAGGTAAAATAGAACCATCCTTCTTTAAACTGACTCCAGGTCAAGGGAACTAAGTTTTGTGATCTTTCCAAAATAGATGGGAGCTTAGCACTCTGAGGTTTGACTTTTGTGATTTCCAAAAAGATAAATAGCAAACCCAGCGTCCAGAATTGCTATCATTCTCATCCAAGGTATAACTACCGAAGAGTTGAGACAACTAAATGGGCAGCGTGTACCACTTCCAAGATGCAGTCATGGAATGAGCCAAGGGCATGCTGCCAGGGATGTCTGCATGAAAAACGGACTAAGAGCAAAAGCAGTAAAGTTTGACAAGGTATCCCAGCATGTTTTGCTTTGAGAGTTCTTCTGAGAAGTAGAAAAAATAAACTCTCATTCATTCTTCTGGTTGCAGAAAAACTGACAGGTGCCAACATTATGCCAGGCCTGGGCTAGCTTCTTAACCTCATTTGCTGCTGGAATGAAAAAAAAGGGACAAAGGAAGTTACGCTTCCCCATCACATTCCCAGTTACTGGAAAGGAAATGACTGTGGTTGAGGCTACAAGGACAATAGCAGAGTTCAGTTATACCACTGAAGATCAAAATCAGCTGAGAGAAAGGGACAAGATACCCTGCTAGGAAATCTTCCTGAGTGCCAGGAATCATTCTGATCAGTTTGCTTAGGTACACGACTGAGCTTGTTACCTCACTGTGCTCAGGAACTCCCTTCTTTTTTAAAAAGCCATTTTTTCATACCATATCCTACATACTAATCCCCCTTGTTTTAAATTACAACAGCCTTTCTCTGCTACAACCCCCCCCCAACTCACTTCTCAGGTAAACGTCTATGTCCCCTCTTCTTCCTCCCCATATTTATGCCTACAATTATCATAAAACTGCCTTTTCTTTAGGTGCAGCCTCCCTTCCAATCCCAAATTTCATTAAGGGAAAATATAATCGTGTTCACCATGTGATGCCTAAATGCCAGTTCCTGCTTCCCAATGGCCTTATTTGACTCTTTCCCCCAACTCCAGTCATTGAAGCCACTGCCCATTTGCAAAGAACCACCTCAAAATTAGCACAGCCATGTCCTTCTGAGACAGAGTCCCTTTTAGACGTGTCAACCATTTTCAGAATACTCCAACCCACCCTGCACAACAAGGAAGACTGGCATCTCTCTTTCTCTCTCTAATCACACTTTCTTGGGGGCTCATATGTTGTTGAACTACAACTCCCATCACCCCTAGCTAGCAAGGCCAGAGCTCAGGGATGATGGGAGTTGTAGTCCAACACAGGTTGCGAACCGCTGCATGGGTAGGCAAACTAAGGCCTGGGGGCCGGATCTGGCCCAATCACCTTCTAAATCCGGCCCGCGGACGGTCCAGGAATCATCGTGTTTTTACATGAGTAGAATGTGTGCTTTTATTTAAAATGCATTTCTGGGTTATTTGTGGGGCATAGGAATTTGTTCATTTCCCCAAAAAAATATAGTCCTCCCCCCCCCCCCACGGTCTGAGGGACAGTGGACCAGTCCCTTGCTGAAAAAGTTTGCTGACTCCAACTCTATACCCATCCATATGCTTGATGCCATGCTCCATTATCGCCCATTAGCCCTTTTCTCGGGATATATTTTGCTTTGTTTTTACTTTGAGGAAGCACCCTCCACTTATCACCCTGTTATGAACAACCTTTATCACCTACTTTTGAGGATCAGGTCTCCTGTGGGATATTTCAGAGTGCCATGAGACTTATGCTGACTCCACCACCCTTTTCCTTCTGCCGAGGCTCATTTCCTGGACAAAATGATCAAGGTCTGAAGAAAGCTGGGGGGGGGGGGTTGACACTCCTACCACAACTTCCTCTAAAAGACCACCCATGGACACAATGTTTCAAGAACATATCAATAATCTGTGTTCACTACAAGCACTTCCTTTGATATAATGCTCCATTCTCCAGGGTGAGAGGAAAGCGAAGATCGTCCTCCAAGTGAAAATCTTGTTTTATCACAAAAACCTCTTTTCCAGGGTGCAGTTCTTCTTTCTGGAGGGGCAAGTCATGACAAGCAAACACCTCTTGATTTTAATGGGGGGCTTTATAAGGAGACACCCCTTTTGGATCACCACCACACACACCTTCTCAGAACTATGTCCTGCAGCATTAATGAAGCCAGCATCCTTCTCATGTGTGTATACCTGGAAGGAGTACATTTTGGAAGGGGTGGGATGGGAAGTATTCTTGTGGGGATGCACCTTTTCTAGTGAAGGCAATGTTCCTTTTAGGAAACCCAAGCCTGCCTTTTATTTGGCTGGCTCTCATTTCATTACTAAACTGCCCCCTTCCCTCGCAACATCTCTAGCATCATTTTAACATAATACTTTCTGTGAGATGGGAAGGAGGGATAACCCTGCTGCTCGCTTTTTATTATTTACTTGAAAAATGTATACACTACCTTTTAAGGTAAAGCCCTCCCAAGGCAGCTAACAAATTATAATTAATGCAGTATGAAACAAATTTTAAACTACTGTACAAACAAAATGATTCAATTACAAAACTAACAGCAGCAGCCCTTTAGAATCTCGTCACATATTTAGAAAAATGAAGACTGAAACTAAAAAAAAGTTTTAAAGGTTTGTTAAAAGCTAACACACATATTTCTTTCACAACCAAGCTCCAGACATATGGGGCCACCACTACAAGTGCCCCATCACTAACTGATGGACCTTGATGATGGGCCTGTGAGCAACCTTAAAGCCCAGGCAGCTAATATAGGAGCAGGCTTGGGACTAGGTTATGGCTTTAAATGTAAAATGCAGCACTTTAGAGCCCATAAATAAGTAACCCAAGATAACTGGTATAGTATCAATCTAGTATGCTTTGACTGCCATCCCTCCCACCCACCCCGCCATTCTTGCAGCTGCATTCTGTACTTGTCGAAGTTTCTGAGTGTCTTTAAACACAGCCCTAGGAATTGTGCATTAGTCGGGATATAGGCGAAACACGTGTAAACTGTTAAGGTTTGCTTTCTCCAGGTATGGTTGCAACTGGAAGCCAGCCTAAGCTGGTAAAAAGGCACCCCTAGTCACTGGCAGGATCCAAGCTCCCAGTGACAGTACCAAGTACAAGAGAACCCCAAAACCACATACTTGATGTTTCAGGGGGAATGCGGCCCCATCCCAAACTGGCTGCATATCTCCATCCAGATCAGCAGATTTCCCACCCCACACTGCCTCTCTCTTTATCCTAATTCAGCTTCAACTAGGCCACCTGCATCCATTCCAAGACAGCCTCCCCCTAGGGCTTGCAGGTAGAGAAGAGGGGTAAGGCTGTGTGTCATCTGCATAGGAATGGCATTTAGCCTGAACCTCACGATGACTCCCCCCCCAATGGTTTCTTGCAGATGTTAAAGATGACAGAGAAACAGGACACAACCTTGAGGCACCCCAAAGGGCAAGGCCATGAAGTGGAAAAGAAGCTCCCAGAGACTTTAGTACTTTTAGAAAAAGGAATGGGGGGGGGAATACCACCTTCTTCCTCTTGTTAATATTTGTATTATGGGTCACCCCCAAAAAAGGACCCACCACAATCCTTTCCCCTTTCCCGGAATCCACATTATTATAGTTTCTCAAGGAGAAAAGACACATGGATGCAGAAAGAAAGGGGGAGAGAAAGGAGCATTTACCTTTCTTTCATCAGCACACCTCAAGGAGAAGGGGGTGGGGAAGAGGGAAAGCAGGAGATTGATAGAAATGCTCCCCCCCTCCATCCGTGGTTGGAGAGAAGGAAAAAAATAAGGCGGGACACAGCTCGATCCCCTTCAAACATAATCTCCACCAAGGGGAAAAATAGAGAAACGCCCCCTTGGCTGGAAGAAGAATGGGGCGCCCGCGTTCACACGTTATCCTCACCCAACACGCGTGTTCTTCAGGGGAAAAAATCCCCTCCCCCTTCTCAACGGTGCCAGAGAAAGGTGAGGGTGGGGGCTCGCCATGCCCATCTCCCTTCTCTCTCTCTCACCCGCCCCCCCCCACGACCGCGCTCCCCTTTTCCTCTCAGGCGCCTCTCCCCACCTCGCTCCGCGTGATGCGGTGCCGGCCCAGCTTGACCACGGCGAAGTTGCCCTTGCCCAGGGTGCCCTCGATCTCGTAGAAGCCGACGCGGACGGGGCCCGACCCTCCGCGGGGCGGCTGCAAGAGCAGCGCCGCGGCAGCAGGGGGAAGCCGCCGGGGCTCGGCCATCACCATGCTGCCCGGGCGGCTCCCCGCTCCTCCTCGCCGCCGCCACCTCCTCCTCCACCTCCTGCCGCCGGGGCTGCTTCCCCGCTCCTTCCCCTCCGCCTCTCCCTCTCGCTCTTTCCCTCACGAAGGACTGAGCAGCCGCCACTGAAGCCCGGCGCCCTCCCAGCCGCCGCTGCCGCGCTCGGCTCCTCCCCCTTGGCTCCTCCCAGGCTCCGCGCGTCACGGCGCGCGTCATCGGAGAGGGAGGGGGCGCGCGTCGCCGCGGCAACCGGAGTCAACCGCGGGCGAATGTTCCAACGGCCATCTCCTCTCCCACCCGCCATCGCTCTCTATCCTCCCGCCGCGCGCGCGCGCCACTTCCCAGTTCAGGGGGCCGTTCCCGCCATTTGGAGGGGGAGGGGATGGAAACCCCCATCAACCCCCGCGCGATACTTGAGGGGCTTTCCTTCCACCTCCACCCCTTTTTTGCCTTCCGTTTGTGGGGCTGCGCGAGGTGTTATCGCCTCTCTCAAACTGTGCCTTCGCACCGAGCACCCCTCGCTGTGCCAAAGTCATCAGGAGAAGCTGCTCTGGCTTGAAAAAAGTGGGGGCAGGCGCTCTTTTTGTGTGACATTGATAACCTCTCTCCCCAGTTCCCTATCGAGTCCGTCCTGCGAGGGACCGTTTTGCTTCGCCAGCCACGTCATTTTACCACACGTTCACTTTCTGCCGCAGAAAACGCGGTTTGCCTCGCGTTTTACCTCACGTTCTGTGACATAATTTTGCTGCACGCATTTTGCACCTGATGCGTGTGGTCACCATCTCCCTCGCCGCTTGGCACAATGGGAGGGCAAATTTTGTGACGTGAAAGATTAGTTTCCTTGTTCCCATTCAACACCGAAATGTTCGAATGTGGTGAGCTTCATAACATCAGAAGAGCCTCACTGGATCGAGCTAATGGCCTGCCTGATAAATGTGCCCAATGTACTTTTATGGACACATTTTGGTGCATATCCATTCTACAGAGAGAGAAGATGACTCTTCTATTGTTTCCCTCACAGTGAGATGCTTTAGTTTGCCCAAAGTTTCCAAAGTTGGAAACTTTGTTTTGTCCTGATTAAGATTTTCGGGTCACCAGGAAAGCTTGTGAATGGGATTCAACTGCATATTGGCAAATTCAGATTGTACAGTGAAAGTGATTCAGTAAACCGCACACCCTGCCCCCCTCAGCCTTTTTGCAGCAAGGAAAGTGATGTTAAAACTGGAAAGTGGGACACTAATTACTAGACATTGATGCCATGTAACCTTGCAAACAGAGGAATGGATGCCCAAAAAATTGGGTTGGGTATTGTATATAATCTTGCAAACTTAGTGCAAACAAAACCGGACAAATACTCATTAGGTTGTTTGGAAGTGATCTGTCTGCTTCCATTAAATGGGAATAATAAATAATGCACACAGGAGCTGTTTTTTTTAGGTGGTTTTTTTTTTTTTGCAAACTATGTGCTGGGTAATCCTGGGTTTCCTTGGAAACATAGATTCCTATATGAGAACTCAAAACTTGCATTTTGTGATATTTTAGTTGACATGATAAAGGTGCTGCCCTAAGAATGAATTTTAGGTTTCCCCCTCTTAATAAGATCACTCATGGAAGACAACCTTTCCCAATTGTTGCAGTTGTCGGGGGGGGGGGGTAACGGTAAAGCCCAACAGGCTGAGGACCAGTGCCCCATATACTGTGCGTGCCCTTCTTCTTCACAACTCTGCAACAAAACCACAGACCAACATCCCAATCTAAAGCAAAATTGCAGACTTGAGGGAGAATAGTTACACCTTAGGAAATGCTTCCTGCATCTATATTGTATTTATACTACAACATAAATACCAACCAGTGGGGCCATGGCATTATGGAAAAGGAGCAGGAGCAGAAGAGGGGTTGTCTGCTTGTGACGCTGAAATATATAACTCTTGTGATATCGCTGACATAGGTCAAAGAGATGATTGCCTAACAAAACCAGTCTCCAAGGTGCCACCGTGTCTTTTATCTTCTGTCTTGATCCTATAATTCCCCCAATTTACTCCTGGCAGCCTATGGGGACTCCAAACTTACTTGGATGATTGCAAAACCATTCCTAATTATAAGGCAAAACTGAGCTAGCGCTGGTTTGGAAGAGATTAGGACAGTCTGGGCATGACAGGATATTGAGTAATGGAGATATTTCTGCCTTTTAATCAAAAATAAGTAGCTAAAAAGATACTTATTTTGATCCTGCTTTGTTTTAAATCTTAATAACTGTGCAGCACTTACTTTATTGATTTATCATACCCATAATTGTTGAACTAGATGGGAGGGTGGTAGATGAACAATGGTATGGTAGCTACTAGCCAGTGCCACCCAAACAGAAAGAGTTGAAGGGTATTTTTGAGTCTGAGTTTTTTTTAGTTAATATGGAGAGAAGACAAATTCTAGCATAATCCTGTTTCTGGAGATAGAACTAGTATGAGCCAGAGGGCAGACTATATTTTTTGTGGATCCTACAACAATAAATTTAAGTTACTTAGTTTTAACGTGCTTTGGGATGCCTAATTATGTACAGAACCAGGCTACAGTTTGTGTAGCTTATTTTTTTAGCCTCAGTTTCCATAGTAGAAATCATAGTGGTCTATCTTGTGTGACCGTTGTGAGGAGAAAATCTAAATAACTAATAACTACTTTCGACAGCTTTAGTTCTCATGTTTCTACCCATGTCTGACTTCAAATTCTTCTTTAATCTATCCATGGTCATTACTGCATGGTGTTAAAAGCCTATAATTAATTTGCAAGTGTCAATTTGTTTACATATCTACAACTATGAGCCCTGGATGCTAACAGCAACAACAAAAACCAGCTGGTCAGATAGCAGCTGGAAGTTTGATGTGGGGCAAACTTCAGGTGATGTCCACCTCTGCAACCTCCATTCAACAATGAACCCTTCTGTAAAGGGCTATTTCAGAGGGGATTTGGCACCCAAGATTCTCTGTTTTGTACACCGTGATGACTATGGTCTACCTCCACAGGTGGAAGCAGTATGCCTATGAAAGTCAGTTGTTATGGGGAAAGCGCTATTGTACTGAGGTCCTTCTTGCGGGCTTCCCATAGATATATAGTTGGCCACTGAGAACACAATGCTAAGCCACAAGTCTGATCCAGCAAGCTGTTCTTACACCATATGGATATATGATTATACAGTATAAAAATCTGAATAAATTATAAATTTAGTGTGACATTCCAAGGCATCACAAAGCTGAGCAGGTGAAAGGATTTATGGATCTAGTTGTAAAATAAGTCCCTCTACGTCAAATTTTAAGCTGAACATTGCCCTGTTTTTTGGTTTTGCTCTTCTCCTTGCCGTCTGGGTACTCCTTCCACCCTTGGTTCAGTGCTCCCAGTTTTGGCAATTCTTGTGACCTGTGATATTTGCCAGAGCTTCTGGCTTCTCTGCTTAACTTCAAGTTTCCCTGATGATTAAATTGACAACTGTTTTAACCCCAGCAAAAGATGTGCTCCCAAGCTAGTCTGCTGCTGAATACAGTCAAATTAACCACTTTCTGGACTCTGGTGCTCAGTAGCCATCCAGTCCAAAGGTTTGGAAGCAAGTATTGTGCCACATCCAGTTCTGGTGTGTTAGTTGTACTATACAATTGGCCTAATGACAGATTCCAAACCACCACTGTCTCCCATGGATTGCCAAGACTTTACCAGAATAGCCCCTCTTTGGTTTTCTTCTCAGGGTTGAAAAACACAAGACAAAAAAAATGCACATACTGTACAGGTAAAAGAAACCAGAACTGATATGCCTCAGCCATCTCCTAAATTCCACCATACAACTCAAATAATGTTACAGCTGGTTGCCTATTGTCTCTGTTGGGTTTTTGTTTTGTTTTGTTTTGCATATTGAAGAATTTACATTTTCAACAAGCCTTTTGAGTCTGTATCTGTATTGGATTTCAAACTTTTATTGTTAATCGCTTCAGGATGTTTCATGGGTAGCAACAAACAAAAAGGCAAGCAGACATTTCAGGGAGTTTTTCTACATGATGCCCATGTTGTAATGGAATCAAAGTGGAGCTCTCTTCTGCCCACTCTTCCCTTAAACGTGGGCTCAGATAATTTTTCATCTGGGCATTTCTGTCAGTACTTATTTTATATGGCTAACATTTGCTTTACTGCCTTCTAGATTTATCCATTCTGAAAAGTTCCGGTGGATGAATGGAAGCTGCTGAATGGAATTAGTCAGCCATCCACCTTCAGAGATGGTTGATCTAAGCAAGAGCAAGCTAAGAATAGTGCCTCTCATGGTATGATATGGTACCAGATGCTGTACTCTGTTCTTAAACCCATTCATTATCCCTCCTTGCTGTAGTGTTTCATTCATTCACCTGTAATTATTCTCTCATGCTATGAAAGTGACAGAAAAGTTCCTTTAGTAGATTGTCCCCAAACTCAGCTTTTTATGCAATTGTAATACATGCACAACCGCCTTCCCCAAACATCTGCTGTAGATGTGGTGGACCTAGCTAGCTGGCTCCGATGGGAGTTATAATCTCAAACACCCAGAGCCGGAGGGCACCAGGTTGGGGAAACCTTTGGTGCACATTTTTAGAAACTGATGTCCTTTTATTGGCAGCTAAATCAGCAATAAAAATAGCAGAGCCAACTTTAGCAGGCTGGATGAAATGTTCTTAATGGGCGTGCCCTTTCGTGACAGTGGGGAGGCACAGCTGAGGAAACAGGAAAGATCAAATGATACTTGCAGCAACTTTTTCATGGGAGACAGAAAAGGGCCTCCTTTCCACGGGTGTTTTTAATCCCATATAGAATTTACATTTTGCAAACACAGTTCTGCTGCTCAGAACCCTTCACCAGTCAAGTGTGTGGCCTACACTACAGAATGCTCAGGACATTAGTCTCATCTGCCAAATCTGAAACAAAGGTGCCCTCTAGTGGTGCACATTTTTTCCTCTTCATACATTATTTTTCTAGTTCTTAGGGCTGAGCATAAATGACCTCCCATAATTCTCCACTCTTATTTGCAGGCAGCAGACTTGGGAGTGGGGGGCATTTTGTGGAATATTTCTGTGTGCACATGCACACAGAAATTCTACAGTTTAGAGGCAGGAAAAAAGAAGAAGAAAAAACTCCAACATTTTATCATAATAACATCCTCAAAAATTTCTGCTCCAATCTACTTGGTATGCAGCCTTCAAATAACAAAAACAATACAAGCATGAAAAAGTTGTTTTAAAAGAAGCCTTGAGTACCCAACAATTCCTACACAGATTTTAAAAAAACAGACACTGCAGCTGCTGTACTTGCAGGTTTCTGATATATACTGTATTTGCATTTCAAGCATACATGCCATCTGCACCTGGCTTCTAAAATACTATCTGTTGCAGAGCCCAATTCCTCTCCCTCTCTTGCTCCCATCTCCATGCTTCTAGCCCTGCTGTTTCTTATGCCCAGACTAGTCTCGCCTCCTCTGCAATCTCCCTCTCCCTATCTGCTTTCAGGACCTACTTTCCCCCCTTGGATCCTTTCCTAGACTATCATACCCTTACCTACTCTATAGCTACTGGGCTCTCCCAAGCCTATCCAAACAGTATAAAACTGTCTCCACCATCACTACCATAGATCGCCATTCTGTCATTCTACAGTAGGTCTTTGATATTCAAGAAAGTGGTTAATGTAACAAGTTGTTGTTGGGTTTTTTTATTAAAAAAATACAAGTGCTTATAAAAACTGCAGATGGCAAGCACTACCTTAAAAGAGGCATCCCCCCTTTTCTCTTGCATGCCTCCTATGCGTGCAATATCTGAAAACAAATAATGCTTCTGGCTTCAGAAATATTGACTTTCCCATATGTAGATTTAATCAACAATTTTATCAACTGATGTATGAAATGGAACTCAGGGCAGGGCTATGAGGACAGACTTCCTTGCTTCACACTGAGTTATATGGGCAACATAAGTGGGTAGCAACCTGATACACAGTTGGGCATTTAATTAGTGTAACTGTGAAATTCAAGGGACGCCGGTGGCGCTGTGGGTAAAAGCCTCAGCGCCTAGGGCTTGCTGATCGAAAGGTTGGTGGTTCGAATCCCCGCGGCGGGGTACGCTCCCGTTGTTCGGTCCCAGCGCCTGCCAACCTAGCAGTTTGAAAGCACTCCCTGATGCAAGTAGATAAATAGGGACTGCTTACTAGCGGGAAGGTAAACGGCGTTTCCGTGTGCGGCTCTGGCTCGCCAGAGCAGCGATGTCATGCTGGCCACGTGACCCGGAAGTGTCTCCGGACAGCGCTGGCCCCCGGCCTCTTGAGTGAGATGGGCGCACAACCCCAGAGTCTGTCAAGACTGGCCCGTACGGGCAGGGGTACCTTTACCTTTACCTATGAAATTCAGGAATAGCCATGGACATAGATAATGGGGGGGGCATTTGCCCCCACCCATAATCAAGTAAATCAATAAAAATACTAAACTAACCGAGGTTCTGCCCCCTCCTAACATAAAGCCTATCCCCCCAAACATAAATCCTGGCTATGCCCATGGCAATAGCATTTGCAAGACTGCACATCTGTGCCAAAAAAATCTCTGGAAAAGCAACTTGTGGTGAAGCCACCAAAGAATCTGTGTGTGAAATAGCTAATTTGACCCTTGCGCACAGGCAGCATGTGACCCAAGCCGTCTAAAAATGCTGCCATCCCACTTTGAGAGTGAATAAGACACACAAAGGTTGGGGCCATGGCTTTCCCCAGCACAGCTCTCGTTTCCTGTTTTCCTAAACCAGTAACAGATGATGCTGGACCAGCTAAAAAAGAAAAGTTGAGAATGATTAAAACCTTTTTTAAAAAAGCAAATGCATCTGACTGCTTCATGAAATGTAGTTAAAAATTGGGGGAACAGCCAACGGCTATCATTCTACTGGCTAACACTTCCCTGGCAGACACTGCTTAGCTTTGTTCAGGCTGCTTGTAGTCATTTATCTGGCGTTGAACTCCCTATGCAAATGGCTGTAGTTTTCCAGAGAATTTTGAGCCTTGCAGAACTTAGCCAGCAGGCATTTCTCAAAGGCTGCTAGCTAGGAAGGAAGGAGACACAGAATAATGCTGACCAACTGACAGGGAAAGGCCAGTAGAAACGTAAAAAGGACTACAATGGTTGAAAAATGCTAGGATTCCTTTCCAGAAAACTGGCTGCCTGAAGTGTTTATACTGGCCAAAGCAAAATTATAGCAGCATTCACTTTTATGGTTGTTTCATTCCCATGCCACACACATTCTTCTCAAGGCTTCTTTTCATTCTTTAACTTCCTGGTAGCTTCTGGGTATTGATTTTAATTTTATCTTGTGGTTTAGCTACTTTTGATGCAAAAGAAGTAGAACCCCAAGCATCATATTAACAATGCCAGTTTCTAATGAGGGTACAGTTGCTTTGTAAGCATTACATGGCTGCTGATTTCATGAATGAAAGATGGGAGGTGGGCAATTATTTATCTTCAGAGAAGCAGGGGGCGGGGACCCTATCCAAACTAAATAGCAGACTGTGATCTTAGGTCTGCTATAGCTCCACAGATGTGCACTGTGCATTTCCTATATCCACCCTCAGGCATGTTTTGATGCCTGTTACATAGCTGTCAACTTTCCCCTTTTTTAAAGGGGAATTCCCTTAATCTGAAAAGGATTCCTTGCAAGAAAAGGAAAAGTTGACAGCTATGGCCTGTTTACATTGCAATGTAGAAATTTCCTGTGATATGAGAAACTAACCTTGGTATCCCCAATGCCATAACTTGCAAATAAAGAAATGCTAGTGAGATCTATTCACTTTTTAAAAATAGCAATAAAAATTGAAATGCATCTAACTACTTAATGAAAAAGGTACCTTTAGCACAGCAATTGGGAAACCAAGCAAGAGGCATCACTCAACTAACTACCACTTCCTTGGTGCCACTTGGCAACTGTTGCCTAGCACTGTTTTGACTGTTGCTCATGGGCAGCGATCTTGGGCATTATTGTTGCCTTTGCTTTTAAGCAACACATGGCTGATTCACACATGCATGCTCATCCCTTGCTCATCAAGGCACGACTTGCATGTGGGACTGAATCATCACAGATCAAACACAATGCACTTAAGTAGAGGAATTTCACACATTCACCAATGTGTGCTGACTAATTCAATGGTGGTCAGGAGGACTCAGCCCACTGAAGTAGATGTGCACACATGTTTAGTAACCCTGGCCATCTTAATAGCATGGAGTTATAGTCCAGCAAACAGTTCACCAGCAAAACATGTGTATTCCTTGATAAACAACATATAAGGTTGCATTCAGACATGCACAAGAGAAACTTGACAGCAGTGCAATAATACCCATGTCCAGGATAACGGGAAAAGTAACTGAAAATACAATGAAGGTTTGTGGCTGTTTGTACACTAAGGTTTGTAAACTAAAAGTTACTAGAGTTTTGTCAGCCATCAAATTTGGAAGGTGCCCAAGGCTATCTTGATACCAATTCCAGGATCCTACTACCCTACATTCCAACTGGAATCATCTGGAGAGGGAATTTCCCTTATAGGGGATTCTCATTCATATGTGGGTTAACGGATTGTGCATATTCAATTGCTCCTTTTCTATCCATTAAGTGCAGGAAGCAACTTCTCTGTTTGAGCCATTCACATAACATGGTTGCCCGTTCTCACATGTCTGAAAATCACGCAGTGAGAATTGCTGTCATCAGATTCCATTACAGCTATTTGTGCTGAATTGCACATATAGGAAAAAATATGCTCTGAACACCCTGCATGTCACACAAAGTAATACACTCTGGTAAGGAGTATAAACACCCATTTCCTTATGCCCTGACCACAAGGTTCCAAGTGGCCTAGCCTGCTTTCTAGCTACTCAAGCAAGACCTCATGTCTTTTTGGCTAATCTTTGCCTCAGTGTCAAATTTGATGTTACTTTTCCCCTGTGGTTAGCATCCACATCATTTTTAGGTTAAAAAATACTTGGCACAAACCCCTTTTTCTTATAACTGGATATGAATGTGGGAAGTGAGGTTTAACCCTTCCACGGAATCCCCCCAAATCCCTGTGTGCTAGATTAGAAGAAGAAAAAGCTCTGTTGGTCTCTGCTTTTCAGCCCCTTCTCTCTGCCCTTTCTTTCCTCCACCCCTTGTGTTCTCTGCCTCTTGAAAAGAAGAGTCCCATCAAAACTGATCTTTATTCTCATCACAAAAGTTGGTCTGTTTGTGGGGATTCTATTATCTTCAGTGCCATTCCTTCCAAGTTAGAATGTTCACAAACATTCCATGACATCACAGCAACTCAGCCACCCACAGCCAGAGGCTTCAGACATCCACATGCATACAACCCAACACCACCACAAATATCACCTTACAATATTAAAAAAAACACATTTGTGGCCTCATATGGTAACACTGTTCCACTCAGTACATGATAACAGACCACTGCCATTACTATGTATCTTTTCTGTCACATGTCAAATAGCAAAACAAAACAAAACAAAATTTCGGTCTTATTCCAATTCACAGCTTCTTCCTTGGAGCAGAAAACTGGAGGAGTTGTAGCACTCAGGTTAAAAACTGGAGGCCTCAACTAAACATGTCAACAAATAATGCATTGATTGTTTGGTTTGGACATTTCCAGGAATTACAGCATGGAATTCAATAAGACTACTTTTGACACCACTGTACAAACATAGCCCCAGTCACTTTGTTACTTTTTCCAGTGTGGGTCTCTCATCACCTGAGGCAGAAACTCACTGACACATGGAGGAAAGGATCTCACGGAACTTTATTACATTTCCTGAAACCAACATCTTCTTCAGTCCCTCATTTAGTATTGTGCTTCCAAAAACAGATATCAGGCCCTTTCTTGACACTGGAGGAAGTCTTGTCAGTCTTGGCTCATTTAGAGGTCAAAGTTTAAAAATTCCACTTAAGGATCAATGGTTAAAAAAAAATCAAAATCAAAGTAAAATGTATTTCATATCAGATGACAAAGGAGGAATTTCATTTGTTTCCCTCTGTCTTAGGACTGGTGGTAGAAAAACAGGATTAGATGCTGCTTCCAGAAGACTGTTGCTCATTAAGATTTGCTTTCAGTTATTTCCATCACTTGTGTATGTCCTGTTGCTAGACTTAAAAATCTTTTCAAAATTGTACTGTAAAACACAAAAGGAACAAGAAATAGTAATATGAAAAAGAGGCTAAAGGCATGCAGAGACTTACTTTCCATCTTCCCTGCTCAGGAAATCACATTCTGCACATAAATTGCATTTGGAAGTTCTTGTCAAGTTCATGTCACGCTTACATTGCAATTGTGCATTCAACAAATTTATAAATATGTAACAGATAAACCAGGCTTGTAAATAGCCACACACCTGTCTATTGATTTCTATGCAAAAGTATATAAATGGGATAAGCATCCTCCCATGGATATGAATGGGTTCAAAAATGTGCCTTGGCCAAATCATGTTGCATGCATGGATAGGTGAGCTAGCAATTTTTTGTCTGCTTTGGTACTTTTTGTGGACATTCACAAGGCTGGGTAGAATATAAGAGTTAATGCTATCAGGCTCAAACCGTACATGACATTAATCACCCATGTAGCAGAGAAAGTGGGCACAGCAGTTCTTCTGTCTCTTCCATTACACTAGAACTCAGGGTCATCTAATTATTAAACTGATTAGCTGTCAGTTCAGGACTGAAAAGAGAAAGTGCTGCTTTGCATAATACATAATTGCTAACTTCACTAGATTTGCTGCCATAATATCTAGTGATGTCCACTGGGTTAGACTTTTTTTTTTAAAGGGCCTTAAAATGGGATTAATCAAATTCATCAAAAAGGTCTAAAAATGCCCATTACTGAAGTTGGCTATATAGAATTAATGTTCAGAGGCACTATCACATTTTACCTTAAGTCCTATTTCAAGTCTTCAGGCAGAAGTGTCTGCACTGATCCAAGCACAAAGTTTGGGGGAGTCCTGAGATTTGCAGCAGTATGAACAACAACAACAACCCTAATGTTGGGGAGGGGACATTCCATATTAGTTTGAAATGGATACAAGTATGTTTGCTCCTGGGAGGAAAATAGCAGCTGTTGGGGTGGGCAAATTTGGATTAAGAAAATAGTGGCAGGGGAAGGGTTAAGTCTTCATCTCCCAGTGCCACCACCCTGATCTGAATCCCCCCCCTTACTAAAAAGCAACAACACAAAACCATTAGGATATCCAACCACAGATCTCCAGGTGTCACTACTAGCCTCTCAAAAGTGCACTGATGCATTGGCTTCTACCACAACAGATTTATACAGAATGTGTTATTATGTGTTTCAGACTGGTGGTATTTTTCTACTCCCCATTACATTCACTAACCTTGCACAGTAATCTCATCTGCATCAGGACTTCTAGGAGTGCAGCTGTGCTGGTCTTCAACACCCTTGCCGGCAGCAGAAAGCATAAAAGAGGTAATAACGTAACAGTAGCTGGCCACCTATTTCCTCCAAAATTAAGTGACCTGTGTTTAATCTTTCCCTCAAGGCATATGAGCAAACCTGGCACAGAGGTCTATTGTACAGCAGCATATATGTGCCTTCTTGGCTCAACAGATGCAGATATGTCTATAAATTTTTGCTTTAGCAATCTTTCCAAAAAGAGGGGTTAGGGATTGCAGCCATTCCTATGGTGAATGCATTGCCTGCACAGATACTGCAAGTTCTTTATATTTAGGTTCTTAGAATGAGTCTTTTTGCTTAACGTGTTACATCCAACATCCGAAAACATATTGCTTTGTTGGTTTTTGATGTCATTTGATGTCCATGTCCTGTGTTGGGAGGCCTTGGGTATAAGAAAGCTAATCGGTTGTTGCAAAAGTAGGCTGGATGGATAAGAGCAAAGCACAATAGAGGAACTGCCCCCTCCTTGCTGGAAAACTGATGGCTTTCAGGATGACAAAAGATGGATACTAGGCAGCTGGTGAAAACTAGGTACTGATGGTCACCTGTGACACCTGTAGTATTTTTAGCTTGGAGCTGGAAAAACCATCACTGAATAACTCACAAGCTCCATCTGGGCTTAGGCAATTAGCTTAAAAGACAGGAGTTTTGATTTAAGTGCATATTGTCACAAGACAGAAATACTGTCAAGTTGTAGATTATTAGGGAATGATGTCTGTCTGTCAAGGGATGGAAGCAAGATTGCACAAGGCCATTTTCCTTAGCTAAGTAAGAGCTCTACATATATAAATTCCCTCACATTCCACTTTCAGAAAAAGGAAAACCTTTATCGTAAAAACACAAACACTACAAATGCGCGCATTCCTTTGCCTACAAGGGCGCATCCGCTGTGCCAGAGCTAGTTCCAGAGTCCACTTAGCTCAATATCCAAAGCACTGTCTTCATTAATAGCCATAGATCTCGTTTTCTACCCAGGCTGATTCTTTGCTTCGCCCCACTCGGTCATTGCACAGTTCGTATATGTCATTGGTGACAAATCCACTTTCGGTGCTGGCCAAAGTCACAAAGCCGCTCTCTGAGGTGTTGACAGCCATATTGTCATAGTCCCCAGAGAGGTCATCGGGAGTATCTTCTCCAGGACGGGCCCGGAAAGAAGAGTTCTTAATGTCTGGTCTGGTCCTAGCGAGATCGGTTTCTGACTGTTTTCTGATTACATTGTATATCTCCAAACTGGGGCTGTTCTGTCTCTTGGGGACAGCCAGGTATCCTGTTCCTTTGCGTTCATCTCTGTTTGCTCCCGTCTCCTTAGAAGGGAAATAAATAAAAAGGTATTAGCTTCCTTTTATCTTCCACTGGACCACAAAACACATACTAAGAAACTAATCTCGTGGTGTTAGTGTAGAGAAAGTGTGTGTACACACACACACACACACACACACACACACACACACACAGAGTCTGTGGCCACATAAAGGAAGAGAATACTTCAGTTATGGTCAGCTTTGTTTACTGTAGTATGTAGTGGCAGAATCCAATCTGAACTTAGCAGTAGCAGGAAAAAGAAAGGTAATAATAACTGCAGGCAAGAAATTAACTTCCTTTATCCAAAAGCAGAATTTTACCCTGGAAGCGCATACAAGCTAGCAACAGGAAGGACTCCTAAAAGTGATAGCAGCAGATGTTTGTGTGTGTGCACATTTGTTAACTTAACATGCCCCTTTCTCAAAATAATGTTTATTCATTAATTAAATCTATATCCCACCCTTCCTCCCAGAGGAGCCCAGGGCAGCAAACATCAACACGTTAAAACAATACAAATTGAAACAGAACAAAAATGAACATATTTAAAGCATTTTAAAATAGTTTGAAAGCCACCAAAAACATTTCATTCCAGATGTGTGTAATAGTAATTTCATTGAGCTTCTTACAGCCTATTTCACATCCCTCCTCTTCCATTACAACCCCACTCCCAGTTTTGTTCTACATTCATTCACACTGCCCCTTGGTCCTGACCAGATGCTATCTATGACAGCGTATCGTAAAGCTTCATGCTTTGCCCCATATTGTGACTTGCCTCTTTGCATAAAGCCAAAAGCTGAAAATGGCTGTGATGACCACGAGGAGAAGCAGAACAGGAATGCTGGGGATTAAGAAGTAGGCAAGGCTCCAAACAGGCTCTGTTGAGGGGGAAAAGATACTCTAACTTTCAGTGGAAAAATTAACAGGCATTACTTTTTCATGCAGTTATTGCGCTCCAGGTTCTCTGTGCATAATTTCCCCTTTTTCCTTTTAACTTTAGCAATGGGGGCAGGAAGAGAGGATATAATTAGCACAAGTATCAGGATGTTTTAACTATCTCTGCTGTGGTGTTCTCCAGGAAATCAAATGCTGTATTACAGGCTGTGGTAATGAATGATAGTGCCTACCTTTAGCTTCTTTGAAAGTTTTATTGGTTGCAACTTCAGGAATGGGTTCTTCTGGGGATGTGGGTGTAAAGGTCTCTGTTGCAGCTCCTAGGAAAGGAATCTGGCTATTACAACTCTCATAGCTGTCAACTTTCAGATTTGAAAATAAGGGATCAGCAGCCTCGAAAATAAGGCGTCAGCAGCCTCACCTGTCCCGGGGACAGTCTACGGGATATCTAACAATCCAGGACAGCAGCGGGAAGCAGCGCTGGAATAAGGGAATTTCCCAAAAAAAGGGGTTGACAGCTATGCAACTCTACAGGAGAATGGCTTCATTGCACTCTACATTTTAAAGCAGTATCATGCCACTTTAAGCAGTAATAGCTTTTCCCAGAGAATCCTGGGAACTGTAGTTTGTTAGGGGAGTTGCGGACAGTTGTTAGAAGTTGACTGGGGAACACTCTGGGAGCTGTAGCTGTTATTTGGAACAGAATCTATACCATGCACTCAAATTTTACTGATGTGAAATTTACCTGCTTGAGAGGTATTAATTTCAGAGGCAGCTGTTGGCTTTTCTGCAAGGGAAAAAACACACAGACATATATTTTCTTCTGCATTTGGTCACCAGGAGAAACTTAATCTCACTCCCCCAATGTTTTGGCTTATCCATGGAAGTCCTTGGCACATTTGATATTGTGTCCCAGAAGTTTAGTTAAGGAGACCATTTTTGGAAACAGCTTGCAACCTGTCACTGAACCCATTTTTCCATTTCCCTTGTCATTTCATCGCCTTCAGATTTTTTCGGTGCCCAATGGTGATACTTAAAAGTCTTAACCTGCATCCTCTCTAAGTGTGGCTCTCGAGAAGCTATGGTTCCACACGATTCCCTTCTAGGTTTCTTGATGTTCCTATGAGCAACATCTTTAAGTATGTGGCCACTGAATGCTAGAGACACATTACTGTACTGCACATTGCAAACTCCATCAAAGCTGTGAGAACTAAGCCTCACAATAGAGTACAGTGGTACCTTGGGTTACATACGCTTCAGGTTACAGACTCTGCTAACCCAGAAATAGTATCTCGGGTTAAAAACTTAGATTCAGGATGAGAACAGAAATCGTGCTCCAGAGGCGCGGTGGCAGCGGGAGGCCCCATTAGCTAAAGTGGTGCTTCAGGCTAAGAACAGTTTCAGGTTAAGAACAGACCTCCGGAATAAATTAAGTACTTAACCCGAGGTACCACTTTATCTTCTTCTGAGTTGGAAACTGTTAAAAAAAACCAGCTGGAAGAGGAAGGGGGCACAGAGCGTGGAGAAAGAGCTGTGAGTGGAGGGGGGCCTTTCCCCCTCCTTTACACCACCTGGGAAATGCATTAAACCTGCTGTACCTGGAACTGAGTGTGGAGAGTACAGCTGAATGGCACACAGCTGTGGGCAGCCTGAGGAAGTGCCATCCACTTTGGGCCTGCCCATAAAAAGCAAGTCTAGAATGAGAGCCTAGGGTGATGTCCTCTGTTTCCAGGAACTCGTCTTCTTGTGAGACTTTTGTGGGGAGCTGAGAGTTTGTTTGGACCCTGGTTGAGAACCCTGAGGCTGAGAGGGAGGGTGTGTCAGAAGGGAGGAAAAACCTAATATTGATTTATATATATTAGTAACTCTGTATTAATGTAACATTTTTATACGTACAGTGGTATCTCTGATTAAGAACTTAATTCATTCTAGAGGTCCGTTCTTAACCTGAAGCACCACTTTAGTTAATGGGGCCTACCACTGCTGCCGCCGCTGAGCAATTTCTGTTCTCATCCTGAAGCAGAGTTCTTAACCTGAGGTACTATTTCTGGGTTAGCAGAGTCTGTAACCTGAAGCATCTGTAACCTGAAGCGTCTGTAACCTGAGGTACCACTGTACCTGTAACTCTGAATTTTAGTAATATTTTGTTTAAGTTGTCTGTTGTTGCTTCTTTTTTGTATGCTGCTTAGAGATATTTTAAAATATATTAAGCAGTATAGAAATTGAATAATCATTCAAGCAATAACCAAATATACACTGAGTTCAGAGACTGCCCCAGTAGCATTTCCCTTTTAATGCCTATTGCAGTGCTGAGAAAACTATATGGAAGGATGCTGGATTTCTTCAAAACTGTAAAGACATCACAATATACAGATATATGTTATTAATCATTCTTGGTTCCAGTTCTTTCAGTTAAGGCCAAAGGACATAGGATGTTCATTCCACAACCACAAAAGATAAAGTCCATAATTAGCAAGTTAACTCTTAGGACTCCATAACACAAGTAGACATTGCGTTTAATGACACATTCCCAGGCATTCATGTATCCCTTTGTGGCGTTTACTCTCCCATGTGTGTGACATCATACTGGGTTCATAGGGAAAGGGTTAACTAATTGTAAAATGACTAACCAATGGGAACCCAAGGGGCAGAGTTAGCTGTCTATAAGGTTTAAGCACAGAGAGAATTTGTTAAGAGGAGTTAGAGTGGTTGAGAAGACGGTCTGGAGTTAGACGAGAGAGGGAAGATAAGTCTGTGGGTTGGGCTAGTCTGGTGTGAGAGAGTGAGAGAATTTGTTAAGAGGAGTCAATCAAACAGTTGAGATAATCAGTCAGAAGGTATTAGGAAGATATAGGCCGGTAAAGAAACTAAAGTTAAGATACTGATAGGAATATTAACTGAGAAACCATAAACTTGTTAATGTTTGTAAAATAAACTTGTTTTTTGGTTCACTTTTAACAACTGACTGGACTCGGTGTTTTACCAGAGAGTAACTGGTTGGTGGCAGCGGGGAAGCGATCACAGTGGTGGCACAGGGATCATAGACCTTTAAATGTCCGGGGACCCTGTGTGATCGCCACACCCTTCATTACTAGAAGCCTCCCACACCACAAATGACCAGCCCCTGAGCCGAATTGCACATCGCAGGATATGGACTCCGTTACCCTGGGGATATTTGCAGATGAAGTTGTTTTTCATGCTGCAGCTGTCATCATTCCACTGAAACATATATGGTCCCCCATCGCCTGCCGGTGCTGAGGGCTGGTGGTACATCACAACACAGACTTCACTTCCACATGAGGGCTCGTCTGCGTACCAGTTTCTGTGGAATCAAAGCAAAACATCAGGTGAATTGTTTCTCCTTGCCAGGAGTTCTCCCCATGAAGGGCATTTCGCAGAGCAAAGAAATACATGGAAGGAAACAAATTCACTCACAGCACCTTTTGACTTTGTACCTGCCGCTCTAGCTATTCACGTGGATGTGGAGGGGGCAGATGTCAGGGACAGCAAGGCTAGAAGCAGGAATACATAGCTCTGTGCACAGCTGCCCCCCTATGATGAGCCAGGGGAGCTTAATAATAATAATAATAATAATAATAATAATAATAATAATAATAATAATAATTTATTATTTTCACCCCGCCCATCGGGATGCGGGTGGCGCTGTGGGTTAAACTACAGAGCCTAGGGCTTGCTGATCAGAAGGTCGGCGGTTCAAATCCCTGCGACGGGGTGAGCTCCCGTTGCTCGGTCCCTACTCCTGCCAACCTAGCAGTTCGAAAGCACGTCAAAATGCAAGTAGATATATAGGTACTACTCCAGCGGAAAGGTAAACGACATTTCTGTGTGCTGCTCTGGTTTGCCAGAAGCAGCTTAGTCATGCTGGCCACATGACCCGGAAGCTGTACGCTGGCTCCCTTGGCCAATAAAGCGAGATGAGCACCGCAACCCCAGAGTCAGTCACGGCTGGACATAATGGTCAGCGGTCCCTTTACCTTTACCCCGCCCATCTGGCTGGGTTTCCCCAGCCACTCTGGGCGGCTTCCAACAAAGATCAAAAGTACATAAAAATGTCACACATTAAAAACTTCCCTGAACAGGGCTGCCTTCAGATGTCTTCTGAATGTCAGGTAGTTGTTTATCTCTTTGACGTCTGATGGGAGGGTGTTCCACAGGGCGGGTGCCACTACCGAGAAGGCCCTCTGCCTGGTTCCCTGTAGCTTTGCTTCTCGCAGTGAGGGAACCGCCAGAAGGTCCTCGGCGCTGGACCTCAGCATCCGGGCAGAATGTTGGGGTTGGAGACGCTCCTTCAGGTATACTGGGCCAAGGCCATTTACAGGTTGGAGCATCTCCCTAAACAGAAAAGGGATCCTAGGTGCTGGAGGAACTCCACTGACCCAGGCAAGCCATTGGCTGTCTTCAACAGGAAGTGCTATGGCAGCTTCCTCTTTATGCTGGCAACATAGGAAGCTGACTTTTGGTCAGACTATTAGTCTATCTTGCTCAGTACTGTCTACACTGACTGGCAGCAGCTTCCCAAGTTTGCAGGCAGGGGTGCTCTGAGCTCCACCTGGAAGTGCCAGGAATTGAATCTGGGACCTTCTGCAAGCAAAGCAGATGCTCTACCAGTGGGCTATGCCCTTCCCCAGACCAATGGTTCATCTAGCTCTGTGTTGTCTACATAGTGATTTGCAATGGCTCTCCAATTTTTTTTAATGGGATGTTCTGAGTCCTACCTGGAGATGCTAGGGATAAAATCAGGGACCTTCTTCATGTAAACCAAATGCTCTATCCCTCTACCTGATTGCCATTCAGGCAGGCAGCTTTGCTGTATTATTTCTGGCATCCGTTAAAAACATTTTTGTTTAGACAAACCTATCTGGTTATGTTGAATGTTTACAAGGTTTTAAGCTTATCATTGATGTTAATTATTATTTGTATGTTTTAAATAACTGGTTTTTTTACTGACAATGTTATTATTTTATTCTTTTTGTAAGCCACTTTGAGGTCTTTTATTATCAAATGGTATATACATTTTATGAAGCAATACATAAATAATACCGCTGAACTACAGCCCATGGGATCTGTCTCAGCCATAAGCCTTCCCTGGCTGAACCCAGGTGCTGCATGATGCTAACAGAGGATACGCAAATGTGATATTTAGTCCCTTTCACAGTCCAAAGAAAGAATACTTGTGCAATTTTTTCCTTGCCATAATTCTTGTTATTGGTTATATCAGCAGGATACAAAGCTGGATGGGGCCCTGTTTGATCACTGATGTTCTGGTACACAAATTTTATTGGTTGATGTTGTTCATATAGGATAAAGCCACAACTATGCCAGAAAGTAAAGGGCGTGGCAGTTGCTTGCACTCCTAGCATGGGCCTGAAGTCCCAGTTTGGTACTGTGAGCTGTGGGAAGGTTCTCTGGAAAGGTTAGCACCATTCCTACCAGGAAACCTGTTATGCAATAATAGGTTGAGCTCTTGACATCCTTGACACACAGGTGTACCTAAGCCAGGAAAGCAAAACACAATTATGGCCAAAAGAAATTCTCTGGGGCTTTGAATTAAAACACCAATGCTTTTTCAAAAGGAAGAACTTATTTATCAATGGGTAGGAATCTCTATTCAGAACACTTAATACTTTTGTTTGACTAGCTAACTTCATGAAGGAACTCATACTTCTGTTCTGAACATGTGGACTTACCGAAACGTGGACAAACTTCCATCTGACCAAGAGTACAAGTTTGGGCATTCAGTGCTGTTGTCAGGATCTGATTCTCTCCTAAGCCCTATCCAGAAGTCGCCATCTGACGCTGAAAAGCTCCCAATCATCTTCTCAATCAGTTTCTGTTCTGACTGTGTTTCTATACTGACTAGGTCTCCTCCATCTCTCCTACAGGCCTGAAGAGCTTCTTTAAAGCCAACCCTGCGTACAACATTATGCAAGTAAACGATCTTGTAGCACGGGCGTTGGGTTCCTCCACGGCAAATGGCATGTCCTGAGGAAGACCAAAAAGAAAAAGAAAAACCATTAGCAAACCAGCAGGAAAAGGTAGCTAATACTTCTCCCATGATGAGTTTTGTGCTGAATGAAATTTCTCTCCATTAACTCACATTTGCACTCATAAATCTAACATGAACTGGAATTAAGAACACCTACTTGCATATCATGGCCAGTCTAACCACATTTCCTTTGACTGAAGTTGACGAAAGCATTGCTGTCACATTTTGGCCAGATAAAAAAATGAGTGCCAGCCATAATTCTGTTGGTATATGTGCTCAGAAAGAACCCAAATTTTGTATTAGGTGAAAGCTTCTTATCACAAAAAATATTAACTAAACTAGTTCATATTAAGGCTCATTCAATCTCAGAATTTGTGTTATGAATTTTTCATACAGGCTGCAGCTCAATAGTAGAATTGTCATGGTCTGGCAGGATGCCGAGTGGGGGGCACCAGGTGGGGAACCCCCAAGGGAAGAAGGCTCAGAGCCTGGGGATTGGTGGTGGGATGATACTGAGTGGTCAGAGGGAGAAGAGGGAGCCGACTGGGAGGAGGAGGTTTAGTGAAGGGGCAACAGGGTTTAGTGAGCAGGAAGAGACTGGGGCAGAGAGCAGTCCAGAATCAGAGGCAGAAGAGGAGACTGGTGAGGAAGGGGACTAAGAGGCAGAGATGAAGCTGGCTGCTGAAGAAGCCAGGGGGTCTCTCCCTCCTCCTGTGACCAGTTCCCCCCACCCCTGGTCTCCCAGAACCAGAAGAGGTATGAAGTGAGAGGAGCAAATACACACAAGGCATTGAAGTCTCAGATCATTTGGGGGATGACCCAGGGCAGGAGGAGCCTTAGGGAGCTGTTTGGGACTGCCTTACTGGAGCAAGATCTACTGGGGAGAGTTGCAATGCTCACTAGGCCTGGCCTCCTGAACTGTTTCTTTGAATAAAGAGAGTTAACTTCATTGACACCGTGTGAGTTATTGTGGACCTGCTCCTGAAAATCGCCCTGACAGGAATTCATGTAGAAGGTTCAGTCCCCAGCATCTCCAGGTAGGACTGCAAAAGACTCTTGTTTGAAACCCTGAAGTGCCATCGGCAATGTATGTGGACAATACTGAGAGAGGCGAACCGATGGTCTGGCTCCTTATAAAGCTGCTTCCTATAAACCTATATCATCAGCCAATCTCTGCCTCGTGAATTTCACAATGTGACTTAAAAAGATAGGGAAGATAAAAAGATAGGGAACACAAAGACCACATCCGAGTAAATCATTTTAATTAGGGTTTTTATGTCCACATTTATCCAGTGCAGAGTCAAGTGTTCTGTTTTAAGAAGTCAACCATGGAACATGGATTTCAGGACAGGATGTTATAAACCCCTACGATGCAAAGTGGTGTTTCTAAAACACATTTTGAGAGAGATCCTCGTGTTTCTATTCGTCCTTAAATGTACAAAACAAAAGTCTACAGTACTCCATTCCAAGGATCTTAATACAGCACAGTAATTCGACTGCGTGGGATTCCAATGTCTTAACTGCAGATGGCATACAAGTTAAAATGCTGAGCACAGCAAAAACAGTCTAGTCACCATCGATAATCTGACCAACATGCATCTCCGATGAAACACAAAATACGTTACCTCTCTGAAGAATCAGATCCGCGGCTGTGAGGCAATAGGAAGAAGAGAAAAGCACATCACTTATAAAATTGGCAATGACCAGGACTGCAGAATGTCCAGCCCTTAAGAGTGGGCTGCTTTGAGGTGGCTAAAGTTTTTGCAACAACCTGGCAATTGTCTGCATTTTATCAGCAAAATTTGAAGTTATTTTTAGCCAAGGCAGGAATGCAATGCAGTTGATTGCAGGCCGGGCACTGCTACAAGTCAACTTGTCCAACCAGTGATCTCACTCTCCTGCATACTAGAGATGATTCCATGAAACTAAAGGTGCTTAGTTATTAAGTAAGGTGTTGATTTCAGACTGATTAGCCCTTAATAAATATAGCTAAAATTCTAACCAGTTTCTCTGCTGCATCAATATGTTAGGCATTTTTAGTGCAAAGAGGTAGATGCAGAGGTCCAAGTTCAAATTCCTCCTTAGAGATGCTTTACGTCTTGCACAGCGGCTAGATCACACTGGTGTTCAGTGCAACACAAACTGCAAATGTGGAGGGCAGATGGGTGCTCCAAAACAAGTAGTGGATATGCACCAGAGATCCATGGCCGATCATAGCTTTTTGAGCAAGTCCCTGAACGTTTAGGAAAGCATGTCTGTCGGTCAGGTGTTTCATATCTGCTGTGAAACACACTAGCAAACACCTTATTAATGACTCAGACAAATAATATGAAATAGTTCTGCAAAACAGCAGCATAGCTTAATATAGTGATGGGAGGCCTGAGTTCGAATCCCATTGTAACCAAGGCCTTGCATAGCTCCCTCTCCCCCCCCCATATCTTCTGTAAAATGGGAACAATAATGTTGTATCATCTATGTTTTTGATGAGGATAACTAAGGCCTGCAAATGGTTTTGCATGTGAAAAGTAATTAGTGCTAGAATAGCAAACATGTGGTAACCATCAATCACATGGCAGTATATTAACGTATTAGTTTCACAATGAAATCATAACAAGGCAATTGGGGTGGGGGACAATAGCATGCCATGCACAAAGTTGCACACCTTCAATTACACACACAACACCCTAGCAGAAGTTGCTTTATGAGTTTCCCAAGACACATTAAATTGATCGTGTGTGGGGCTGATTCTACATGCCAAAACCATAAAGTGTGTCCCCAATGGTAATATGAACTGGCTATGTATCTGGCCCTCATTAATGCAAAAGAAAAGAATGGTTGGAAATGCCTGTAGCATTAATAAAAGAAAAAGAAAAACAGGCACCTTTTAAAATACAAATACTTGTTCAGGTAATTGAGTAATTTTATTATGCTTTATTGTACGACTGAGATGTGTATTTTGTTTTTGTTTTACATTGCTCACATGATTCTGCAGCAGCCTAGAACAGACAGGAGCACTTATAGCTGTGGGGGTGAAGGAACAAGCAAATCCAGACAAAGCAGGCCTGACTAGTACAGAACAAATGGAAATTCTTTGGCAGTACTTATTTTCAGACAGTTTCCACACTTAGAGTGGAGAAAGAGTTTATTCAAAGGATCTTAAGAAGGGGGAGGGGGAGAAACACACACACACACACACACACACAATGTGTGTGTGTAGTTATATATTTATAGGCCAGCTAGAAATATTGTGCAGCGAGCTGCCCACTTCACATCACAACAGTATTTTAAGCATCCTCTTAGAATAGATAGATAGATAGATAGAATGCTTAGAATACACACACACACACACACACACACACACACACACACATATGTGTGTGTGTGTGTGTGTGTGTGTGTATATATATATATATATATATATATATATATATATGCTTTCGTAGATTTTCACGGGTACAGGAATGCAGGTTTTGGTGTCCTCGGGTGTCTTCCCGTGTAAAAGTTGGGGTGTCTAGGCGACGTTTCGACGAGGTCTCACTCGTCATCTTCAGGCTGGTGCTTTCGGCTTCTTGTTACTGGAACAGAGCGGGATCTCAGTGTTTGAGTTCCTATAAATACTGTTGAGGAGGTGTGGTGTATAGCCTCCAATGTTCTGGGCAGAGAGGAAGTTCCCAGGCTAGTGTGCCTTTTCTTCTTTTGTTCCTTAATTACTTGAGGGATATCTTGAGTGATTTCTTGAGTGATATCCTGAGTATCACTTAGGTGGGTCATTAGGTGTGGATTAGTTGCTAAAGCCTTCGTGTCTTGACCTCTTGAACTTTGTGAAGAGTTTTTCTGAGAAGATGGCTGTATTGCACTTAGTTGTGCTCTGGCTTGGCTTCGTGTATAGGGGCGAGCTGTGGTTTTGTGGCCTGTGCCAGCCGGATCTGTGTAGGGATTGCAGGGGGGTGCAGCATCCGGAGGTGCCACCATGGTTTGGCTACTGGATGGTGTCTGTAATTTATCTGTGGAGAGGGTCTGGGTTTGGGTCTGGTGTGGTTGATTGGTGATGGCGTTCTGTGTGCCTCTGGATCTGGTGTCGGTTTTTGTGGGGAGGGCTAATTTCCAGATGTCTGGCAGGCGGGATGTGTCGTCACGCTTGTTCATGTTGTGAGGGTGTTTCTCTATCTCGATGGCTTCCATGATTATTCTCTTGTGGTGATGTTCCATGTTAAAGAGCAATTTGGAATCTGCAAAATTAATTTCGTGTCCTGTTTCTTTCATGTGTTGGAAAAGAGAGGAAGTTTTTTCTTCTTTTTTGACGGCATTCTTGTGTTCTGCGATACGTGCATTTATTCGTCTGTTTGTTTGTCCAATGTACGTGGCTGGGCAGACTTTGCAGGGTATTTCATAGACCCCTTGGTTTTCCAACTGGATTTTATCCTTGGGGTTTCTGAGGATATTGGCTATTTTTTGGTTGGTGCAAAAGGCTGTTTTGATATTGTGTTTATGGAGGATTTTGCTAATTTTATCTGTAGTGCCCTTGATATAAGGAAGGAGGGCCATGCCATTGTTTTCTTCTGTGTCTTGGTTTTTGGGGGGTGTTTCTTTTTGGATTAGCTTCGTAACCATGTTTTGCTGGTATCCATTGGCGATTAACACATTTGAGAGATTCTGTAACTCAGTTGTCAAGTGGTCTTTGTCAGCCAGGCGTTTGGTTCTGGAGATGAGAGTCTTGGCTACGGAGTTTATTTGAGCAGGGTGGTGGTGTGATTGTGCATGTAAGTAGCGGTTGGTGTGTGTTTTTTTCCGGTAGATAGTGTGTCCTAGGGAGCCATCAGGTTTTTTGTAGACTAGGACGTCAAGGAAGGGAAGTTGGTTGTTGGCTTCTATTTCCATAGTGAATTGTATTTTGGGGTGTAGGCTGTTGAGGTGTGTGAGGAAGCTATCTAGTTTTTCCTTCCCGTGTGGCCAAATTACAAAGGTGTCGTCAACATATCTGAGCCAAAGTTTGGGTTTGTGTTCTGACTTGTCTAAAGCATTGGTTTCAAAGTGTTCCATGTACAGGTTTGCGATGACCGGTGAGAGGGGTGATCCCATAGGTGCTCCTTCTATCTGTTTGTATCTTTGTCCATTGTGGATGAAGTACGTGTTGGTTAGGCAGTGGTTGGTCAGGTCCAGGATGTATTCGGGGGGATTGTATTTGTTTTGAATGGCTGTCAAGGCTTCATTAATGGGCACTTGTGTGAAGAGAGATACAACATCGAAGCTCACAAGTAGGTCATTGGGATGTAGGTTTTGCTTCTTTATTGTTTCTATGAACTGGAAGGAGTTTGTAACGTGTGAAGAGATGGATTCTGCATAGGGCTGAAGTTGCTTAGCGAGAAATTTAGCAAGATTTTGTAGAGGTGAGCCTATGGAGCTGACTATTGGTCTGAGTGGTGTTCCTTCTTTGTGTATCTTGGGGAGGCCGTAGAGTTTGGGGCATCTGGATGATTTTTCTCTGGGGATGATTCTTAGCTGGATTTCTTCACTGATAGGAGAGGCTTTTATTTTGGATTTGGTGGTTTTTTCCAGATAGGTGGTGGGATCTGTTTTTATAGGTTGGTAGGTAGGGTCTTGGAGTAGATTTGATAGTTTTGCTTGGTAGTCCGATGTGTTCATCACAACAGTGGCATTACCTTTGTCTGCTGGGAGAATGATTATGTTGTTGTCTTTCCTCAGGTTGGTGAGTGCTTTCTGTTCTTCTTTGTGTAAATTGCTTCTGGGTGGTTTGCTGGAGCAGAGGATGTTGGTGACTTCAAGTCTGATTTTATTGGCTTCATCTGGGTTGATTTTGGTTAGGCTAGCTTCGACTCCGCATATGATGTTTTCCGTGGGGATGCGTCTCGGGGCGACTGCAAAGTTGAAACCTTTGGAGAGTACTTTGGTTTCAGTTGAGGTGAGGATCCTGTCTGATATGTTATGTACTGTTTGTTTCATGGGTTGTTGTGGAGGGTGGCTGGGCTTCTGGCGTTTCTCTAGTTTGTGGAGTTTGTTGGTGTGTGTGTCTGTCTTATGTGAGGTCTCAGTTTCAGCTCTCCAGACGGCTAGTTGTTTGCATTTGTCCCAGAGTGCAGGGTGGATTTTGTTACAGAGTTTGAGGTGAAGAGTGAGCAGATCTTTGTTGGTTTGGTTTAGTAGGTATCTTTTCTTATGTAGTTCGTTTCTGATTAGGGATAGTTCAGTTCGTTTCAGGATCCTTTCGGTAGCTGGGGTTTTAGAGTGGAATTTAAGTTGGAAGCATGTGGGAATTAAGTTGTTGTCTCGGCAGTTGCGTAGGAACAAGAGATCACATAAGATGGTGGCTCTTCGGATTTCTAGTTTCTCGTAGGTTCTTGTCAGCTGGAAGGCTTTAGCAACTAATCCACACCTAATGAC